ATAATATAATTTACAATATATATAATTTCTTACGCTTATTGTTATTAGTACATTTGACTAAATATATTTCTCCATGAATCACTATATTTATTTATAAAATAAGACATATTATTTATGACTTATAATTAATAAATATTATCGTAACTTTTAATGTACCTTTTTAAATATATTCAAATAACATGCTATAAATTATTTATATATTGTATGATTTTGAAAGATATTATTATTATATATTGCACAAATTTGAAAAATAAATTATATTTTTTGTTTTTGATTTAAAAAAATGCGGATTATTATACATTTTAATATATATTGAAAAAATATTGTTATTATTCCTTACCCCAAAAAACGTTGGTTATTACTTATTACGTTGAATTAAGCATTGGGAAGAATGGACCAAGCAAAGTGATCATATTCGGTCTGATGTGCGTTTTGAGCTAACTAGGCGTTTGACTGGATTTGATCTAATTCGAATTTTTTTAAAAAATATTTAAAAATAAAGGAAAATACTGCTTTATTACAAAAAAAATTATCCTTCTTTTAAGATACTTTTTTTATATAAAATTAACATCAGTATGAAAAGTAATAATTTTTAAAATTATATATAATTAAAAATTACTCTAAAATTTTGAAAATATTATCGTTAAGATGATAAAAACAAGATGTTACATGAAATATATTAAAAAATATGTTATAAAATAGTTATTTTTATCAAAAGTATCCAAATATATATATATATATATATAAGGGTGAGACTTGACCATATCACACTGCCCGACTTGAAGAGCCTCAAAAGCTCGGGTAGGGTTAGACGTACTAGCCATCTACTTGGTTGTACAACCCTAATAATTATTCTTTTTTTTAAATATAAACTATTTTTAATTAAATTTTACTTTTTAATAAAATAATTATTACTTTTTAACTAATATATCTTTTCATATTAACTCTCATTAAATATCTTATAATAAATATAAAATTATTATTAATATAAACACTTTAAAAAAAATAATGATTACATTTTAAAAAATAAAAAATTTTACATTTTTAAACATTTAATTTATTAAAAAATATTTTATATTTTTAATGGAGGGTGTATTATATTAAAACACAATTCAGGTTGGTCGGTCATATTCTCATATTAGTATGGACCAGTGAACTAATCTCCTAATCAGTTTGATCAAGTGTTTTTGATGGGTTAATAGGGTCGGATTTAATATATTTTTATCTATTGTTGAGCCTAAAACAACATCATTTTAATCTAAAAACGAGAAAAAAAACAACAGTACGTCATATTTATGTATGGTGACTTGTTTTGTTGGATTGTGTGTAGTTTATACATGTGTGCATTACTATCTTTTTTTTAAATATTACCTTTTTAAAATTATATAAAAATATTTTATATATTTTAATTAAATTATATTATTTTAATTATAATTGAATTACTCTTAACTCAACTATATGATTGAATTACTCATCCTTGAGCTATTGGCTTATTGCCTCGGCCTGTCGGCTTTTAGCACTAAGACAACTGAAAATGAAGGTATGAAGGAGAGCGGCCAATAAGAGACGGCCACGTGGAAGGGATTAAAATCTGTGTGTCCCCCTTCGCTTTTATAGCGCAGTAAAGAGGTACAGTAGTAAGTACTGGCAGAATAGAATGGGCACAGAGGATCCTTCCATTATCCACCAATCACAGTAAAGCCTTCCAAATCTCACCTTCCAAAAGTGCCCCTGCTTCTTCACCGAGTAACAAACAAACAAACGAATGCCAAGCATTTAAAAAAAAAAAAAAAGAACACAATACCATTCTCGTAATTCTTTTGTACCTTCGAGGGTTTTTTCATTATCCTTGACCCCTGGGCCCCACCTCCTTTCTGCTGCTGTATCTCACCCAATAGACCACTCGATTAATTAAAATGACGTTAATTAATTAATTAATTCCAGTCTTATTAGAGTCTTAACAACTAGTAGCTTAGAAAGATATTTAGATTTGTCAAGTTTGTTGTGCCTGCTGTTGAAGCAACCCATGCTCCTTTCTGCAATTTTTTTATTCTCTCTGATATTGTGATTATTATTGTATTATCAATTATAATTAGCATATAAAACATAAATGTTTCATATTATTTATATTTTGAGACCTTGGTAACCATACATGCAGTAATACTTTTTCTATTTGATTCAAGACATTAAAATACTGTTAGCACATTAATGAGATATATTTCTATGATCTTATTTATAAATCACTTTTAATATATTTCATCAATATCAAAAAAATTTCAAAACTCATTAACTCTGTCTTAAAATTTAATAAGTTTTCAACTTTACCCCTATTAAATATATATACTTCAATAACATATTTTTTCTCTCTAACATTTAATGAAAGGTAAAAGAAAAAATTTATAATAAAAATTTAATGATATGTCTTATAAATAGGAATAAAATTTTTTTCCTTCTCAACCTTATAAATAAGATCAGAGAGGGTATTCCTCAGTGCTCACAAATGAGGAGTAAATGAATGGAGATATTTGAATAATATTTTTTTAAAATTAATTCATTAAATGCAAGAAAAATTAGCTTTTATAAAATAGAATTTTAGAAACCAAATGGAATTTAAAAAAAATTGGAGGTATTTGGATGACTCCCCCCCCCAAAAAAAAAACCATAGTTTTGATCGCATAATATTTATTTTTTGAATTCTTTCAAATTCCCTTTACTTCTATTCTATGACGTTCAGTAAAATTGGCAACATTTGGAGTAACTCAAGTGATAAAGAGTCCGAATTTTTTTATTGGAAAAATAAGATCATGTTAAGTAGACATCATTACTCAGAATATATTAATGTATTTGATAGTATTTAATACGGTGATATAATTGTTAATAAGTTACCAGGTAAAGAAGATACTATTGTCCATTTCACTGTGGATTATTTATTGATGAGATTTTCTGTTACATTTAATAATTTAAGAATATATTTGATATTCTGATATTTGTGCCTAAAAGCAAGCAGAGAATCTAGAAATGCTAATTTTTTTCTGGAAAGAAAATAATTTTTTTATTTATAAAAACGGGATGGCAAGGGAAAATATAAAAAGAGAGAGAAGTGAAGAAAAAGCAGAGAATAAAAGAGACCGGATGTTGACAAATTTCATGTCACTGTTCTTAGAAGGTCGTTTGTTTGTGTGAAGATTGCTTATCTGGGATCTCTCTCTTTATAATTTCTTCTTTCTCTCTCTCTCTCTCTCTAAAAAAGAAAAATTAAAATCCTTTAACTCTCTTGCTTCTTCGTTGTTTTTGTGGGAGGGAGAGGGAGAGAGAGAGGGGGAGGTAGAGAGAGAGCGAGGGGGGAGTGGCCCAGTAGATCGAAATCTCCTTCTATTCTTCTACCCTGTGAGGATCTAAGCTTCATTCAATGGAGTTCCAAAAACACCCATCACTTCGTTATTCGTTATTCGTTAGCTAATTATCGGCGTTAGCTTTTTATTTTTATTTTTATTTTATTTTTTGGCTTCAGATAGTGCGAGTGTTGGGCTCAATTTTTCTCTGATTTGGTGGTGGTCTTGTTAATGGCAGAATCCTTGACGGATTCTTGAGGGAAGGTGATACGAGGATGTGGGTCTGAGGTAATTTTACATAAATTCTCTGATTAATTTAATTATTATTTTTTTATTATTGACGGATGATTTGATTTTGCTAAATTTGGTTTTAGTATTTTTATCATACCTAGTTCTTCTTCTTGGAGTGCGATGAAATTCTTAGTTCGTAATCGCTAGGGGTTTAATTTCACTGAGCTTCTGAGCTTAACTGTTTCTCTTATTTTGCTCTTGGATTTTTTATAGTTTGATTTTGTCTATTTGAAATGCTTCCTGTATTTGTGAATATCCGCTATTATTTTGCTTCAAATGATTCTTGTATTGGATCTGTTTCATTAAATTTTGTCATTCATTTGATTACTCTTTAATCCTAACCGAACACCTTCTATTTTTATTTTTCCCCCACATTGATTCATAGGACTTCAATATTTTTGGCTTTTCCAGCGTATTTCAATCTTAGCTGGGGTTTTTGTCTGTTTGATTGCTTTATGGCTATACATTGATTGCATCTGTTAGTAACTTCCTATACTATCCCCCTTCTTTCCCGGTGTTTATGCGGGTATGCTTTTCCTTTAATTTCTCTGAAGAAGGACTTACATGTGAAGCTAGGAATAGAAGGCGAAATTCGTTGTTGCTGTATTGGCCCATCGTTCTTTTGACCTTGTAGTTCACTGTTGTTAGGGTAAAATTATGGTGCCTGTTTAATAACTACTTTGGACATCGGTCATTGTAATGATGATCTTTTGATGTCTAATTAGAAGTACAATTTTTAAACTCAGCAGCTTTAAATTCTATGAGGATTTTGGAAATTGCCTATGAAAAGCAATTAATTGGTAAATTAAGATGAGCATAACTGCTTTTTGAAAGATTCTTCCATTTTAGAAAGTCATCTACTCTGAAGGATCACTTGTATTTTATGGCAGTTTGCTGCTTTACTTTAGGAGTTTATCATAAGGCTATGAATTCATATTCCCTGTTCTTCATGAATTTGAATTTGGTTCTAAGGTGGTGGTTATTACTGTCACTGTATGGTAGATTACTGGCATGCAAGAAATGCTTGTTTTCCTTGAAATCTATTGGTAATAGACGATGGAACTATTAGATGTGACTGCTGATATTCTTGTCCAAGTTCTCGAGCACATAAACAGTGGATTATGTTGAAAGCATTTTTGAGGGCTAGATTTTGCTCAAAGACTAGTTTCTCACGCCTTTTGGCTATTTTGCAAGATTTTCTTAGCCTCGTGTAAGTCACAAATGATTTTGCTGCTTCTTTAGCAGGTTATTGGACAATAGAGTTTCATAGAGAATGTGTATTTCTCATATGTTATCTCATAATGGTCCAAAGTATTTTTGTAAATTTAGTGATCTATTCGTTCATGACTTTAAATTTTGTGGAAATGTCTTCATACAATTATGAGAGTCACATGTATAACATTTTACTTTTGTACATTGTACTTGTGAATTTTTGTTGCTAATTCAGTTGATGTAGTTTTGGCGTTTGATGGGACAATTTAAGTTACATATGCCGGGTTTTCATCAAATTTTCACTTTGAATTTTCCTTGTGTCACAAGTCCAGTGTTCTCCACGTTATTCAGCATTTCATTTGATGCTTTTGGCCTCAGTCAATACTATTAGATGCTTCTAAGTCAAGGGGAAGGATTGGCTAAACCTTGCATCTGGTTGTTCCCTATTTATACATCTGGCTCAGAAATTTATAATACCCTGTTGAATGTTAAATGCATGCTGTTCCATTCCTGAATCTGTTAAAGTGCATCTATATACCTTAAAGGAAAATATGTAGTCTAGTTTTGAAGGGAATTTTAAACACGACCTTGGCAAATTAATGCTGTATCTGTAGATTATGTGTTACATTAACTGTTGACTGAGCTGAAATTTGGTTGCTATATCTTTTGATTTTCTTTTTCTTTCTAAAATAACTGTTCTTCTCATTTTGTTCTTTCGGATTATGGAGAGAAATGGTTAAGTGGGAGAAAGTGAAGGAGGAAAGAAGGGGTAAAAAAGTTTTCTGTTGATCTCCTTGTTCTATATATTATTCCCTTAGCTATATAATTTTCATTGTTTTGCTTGTATCAGTAATTTCTTTAGTAAGATGGACTCTGGAAAAACTTGTTGCATGGGAAGAAGTTAGGGACAATATACTTAAATTGCTCTTTATTCATGCTGAATTCAGTTCTAAAGAAACGGAGTAAAGTATAGAAGTTTTTATTATAAACTTGAAACAAGATAACGTAGATATAATTTTTCACTTTACTTTTATGCTCAGATAATTTTCCCAATTGTTCAAGCAATATTAGGTAAAATTTGAGAAAAACTGAAATGTGGATCTGTAAATCGAATTATTTGACTTTTAGAGGTTGTATTTTATCTGGTGCAACAATAAGAATGTGGTTAAAGTAGATGCTTTCTATATGTGCCAGAAATTACTGCCTGAATTGGGATGTTATTGCTTTGGGATGGGGAGCTATGCATCAGTTAATGCTTGCCAAGAAGAAGAAATATACTTGTAATTGTGTTTTTGGTGATGGAAATATGTTAATGCTTGTGAAAAACTCAATTTCTTGTAATTGTATTTCAGGAATGGGAACCAAAGTGCATAACCTGCCAGGATATCACTCAATGACGGATCTTAATGAAGAATCTAGCAGTTGTGGTTGGCCCTTATTGTACGGGGATAAAATGCTGTCTAATGGGCAGTATTATAATAATTATCTGTCAAGTCCTACTGCAGATGCATGTTTAACATATGATAAGGATGTTGTGAAGCAGACTATGCTTGAGCATGAGGCCGAATTTAGAAGTCAGGTAAGAAGGTCCTGAGATCTTCATCTTAGCATGTAGCTTAAGTGATATGCTTGGAGTGTTTTGTGATTACTCATACTGTATTAAATAAAGGAGTCAAGCTTTTGTTATATTTTGAATGCGAGTTTTAACTTGTCATGCTTCTTCTGAGCTACTTGTCTTATAATATTTTGCCTATCACACCGTTTAACTCTATTTTGTTGCAAGACTCAATTTGCTCTTCGTTGGATGTAGGGTTTTCTTATAAAATTGTTGAATTGAATGTATCATTCAGATTAAATTCTATGTTTAGCCTATAATTGGAAGACATCCTGATGTGCTAAAACTATGTGTCATTAAACAGGTCAGTGAACTTCATCGACTATACAGAATACAAAGGGATTTGATGGATGAAGTGAAGAGGAAAGAGTTGCACAGAAACAAGATCCCTGTTGAATCATCATTTTCAACAGATCCCTTGGCATCACAAATTACTTCTGAAGATTGCCAAAAATGGCATGTCACTGGCTTTCCTATGGTAACTTCTGTGGGTGCTAAACCATCTATTTCAGGTGCTGAGGGCTTTCATTCTCCTTTGAGTTCTGTTAAAGGAAACAGTAAGCAAGCTGGTATGCTTCCATCCCCAAATGGGAGCAGTTCAAAAGATGTTGAGGTACTGGACTGCAGGCCCTCAAAAGCGAGGAGAAAAATGTTTGACCTCCAACTTCCTGCTGATGAGTACATTGATACTGAGGAAAGTGAAAAGTTCAGTGATGAGAAAATAAGTGGTACAACAGTAAATCTTACTGATAGAGATTGTAAACTTAAACGTGAGGGTGACATGAATTTTCCTTGTGGCAAGGCTGGTGGCCCAGAAGGTACTTCAAAATGTGAACAGTCACTAAGGACCATAAACGGTTTGGCTGACTTAAATGAACCTGTTCAGGTGGAAGAATCAAATGCATCTGCATATTTTCAGCCTCTGAGCCATAATCTGCGTCAAGGGGCAACTGGATGTTCTGATTTTTCTTCCAAACAGAAGTCGTGTCTTATTGATCTTTCCAGAGAAGAATTACTCAACAGACATCATGCAACTGACATTCGGCCTTGTAACAATGGTTACATAGAGAGCAATCGGAGTGGAAAGTTGTGGATTCCATCAGTGCTTGAAGAAGCAGGTTAGATTACTTCATAAATCGCCTTGAAATTTTGATTTTCTTATCCAAACCTCTCCCACCCAATAAAGTTTTACTGAGTATTGCAGCTGAACTTTTGCATTTAATTGAAAATTTTGCAAAATCAGTAATTCAATGGAACATGTTATAATTTGAAGTTAGTTTTACCTGACCTTTTAAAGGGTAGCTGAGAGCCTGAAAGAACCACGTAACCAAAATTCAAGTTTCTAGAGTAGGGATATTTATACTGGTAAATTTTATTATTTTGGACAAACAAAAATTTAGAAAATTATTGAGAGGTACATTTTCTTTCATATCTGGTCTTTTTGGGGTACACTATTCGCTTTTGTATTTGGCAGCAATGAACTTTTGATAATTGAATATATTTGTACCACCACGATTGATTTTGCAATGTTTACAGGGCAAGCTAAAAGCAACCTCAAACCCATTCCTCAAGTTCTCAAACAAGAGAAGTCCCTTATGTCTTCCCATACAATGCGAGATGCACTGAGCAAAGCCCATGAACCTCCTCCTGATTTTCTAAGTAATCGAAGAAAGGTTGATACATGGATGGATAAGACAGTTTATGATTTAGAAGCCAGTGAGAGAATACATGAAATCCCCACTAATAAGCATCCAGAGTCTGCTGTATCTACGCATAGATCTAGGCTATTTGCTGTTGCTTCTTCTTCGAATGTGGCAAAGTCTTGGTCTCATTCAGCTTCTTCTTGGGAAATGTCTAATAGTAGCTCAAGCCAGAAGATTTTGTCTGTTCAGAGGCTGCCATGTCTAAATGCATCTGGTGCTTTGAGTAAGAGTTCTCAGTCAGGCCAGACCAATGGTATTTTGGCAGATAGTTGGTCACGCAATGTTGATTCCAAGTATAGCCCTGGTTTTCAATGTGAGGCTCGTGTGCAGAATGGATTTTACCCTGGATCTTCAACAGGATCCAAGGAACCATCTGTGAATGTCTCTTCAGTTAGTTATGACTGTCTCAACCGTAATAATAGTTTTAAGGGAGCTCCTGAACTCTTTATCCATGGTTCTGCAAAATACTGCAATGGTTTAAATTGCAACGAGGTGAGGTCTGGAAAAGATATAAACTTGAATGTGATGCTTTCAAGTGACTCATCTAACAATCAGGTATTGCAGTCAGGTCTTGCCGCCATGGATGGAGAACTGAAGCGTGAGGAGAATCATCCGGTATTGCCTTGGCTTAGACCAAAGCCAATTTGTAAGAATGAGGTGCAAAATGATGGTAGAGTTTTAACTGGTGGAGATCTAAGTTTCACTCAAGGTGCTTCAACATCTAACAAAGATGAAACTGGAAGGGGCCCTCATGGAAACTTCATGCACAAGGTACCTTCATTTTTATATTCCAATGGCATCATGGAGCAAAGGAGGTCCGAGATCAGTGACAGAACTAGTAATGAGAAAATTCTTGGTGTTCCCATATTTGATATGCCACATGTTTCTTCTAAGAAGGAGTCTTCTGCATCTACTTCTCTCTCCGTGCCAGTTCCTAATACATCTGACATCGAAGCTGTGGAAAATGATCGGAAAAAGAGGGTCCTTGATATTAACTCGCCTTGTGATGTTATTGATTTGGAGAAAGAGGATGATGACGCAGAAACCATTGCTGGTGAGAAAGAATGTGCTGCAACAGAATCCAACTGTAGAAATCTAATTGATCTGAACTTCAGTATGAGTGAGGAAGAAGCATCTTTGACAACTATTCCTAGTACCAATGTAAGGATGGTGCCGGAAATAGATCTGGAAGCCCCCGCTGCTCCTGAAACAGAGGAGGATGTCATTCCTGAAGAAAAACTGCTTGAAACTCCTCTTGTGTCAACAACACAAGACCCGCAAGACAAAGTTGAACAACCAGAGGATGAACTTATAATGCAAGCAGCAGGGGCCATAGTTGCCATATCATCTCATTCCTGCAATCATGGGGCCGAAGCGATCACCAGCTCTTCAGAGAGTCCAATGGTGGACCCTCTTAGCTGGTTTGCGGAACTAATTTCCTTATGTATACATGATGTTGAGGCTAAGCTTAATTCTTCTGGAGAAAATGAAGCAGAGAATAATGAACAATCTTCCTCAGAAGAAATGGATTACTTCGAGACCATGACATTGAAACTGACGGAGACCAAAGAAGCAGATTACATGCCTAAGCCTCTCATTCCAGAAAACATCATTTTGGAAGATACTGGAACAACCGTGTTAGCTACCCGAACCCGAAGGGGCCCGGCAAGGAGAGGGAGGCAGCGGAGGGATTTCCAAAGGGATATCCTTCCAGGCCTTTCGTCATTATCAAGGCATGAAGTAACAGAGGATCTTCAGACTTTTGGAGGGCTCATGAGAGCAACAGGTCACTCATGGTCTGGATTGACTCGGAGAAGCTCTTCGAGGAATGGTTGTGGTAGGGGAAGGCGGCGATTGACAGTCAACCCATCTCCCCCTCCGCCGCCGCCGCCGCCACCACCGCCGCCGCCGCCTGTGGCAGCCAATGAAACTTGTGCTCCATTGGTGCATCAGCTTAGTAACATTGAAGTGGGATTGGAGGATAGAAGCCTCACAGGCTGGGGCAAGACAACAAGGCGACCCCGGAGACAGAGGTGTCCAGCTGGCAATCCTGCACCAATCCCTTTAACCTAATCACCTTTATGACAGGCTCGTGAGTTTATAGATGAGGATTTATAGAGGTTTAAGCAAGTTCATTTCAAATATTTGATGGAACACATGTTCCTGTATCTCAGCCACGGGGATTTCTCTTGTAAATTTCTTCAGCCCGTATTTGGGTGTATGCTTGATTGTCAGTCGTCTATCAACTTGTATTATTTTTAAATAATGTTGCATGATTTCTTTCAGGTTATCTCTTTAAAGAACTTGAAATATATAGTCATGTTCTTCAACTTAGGGTCCTCTTTTTTTTGTTTTTGTTTTTGTTTTTAGGTGTGGGGGGGGGGGGGTAAGAATGTCTGAGGAGGTGAATTTCTTTGTTCTGCATGCAGCTAGGCGTGTGACTTGCCTTCCATTGAAGAGGATACAGTTTGATTCAAGTTGAGGGTAAATAAATTATTTTCATATAAACATTATTCTTGAAAAATATTCAAATTACATAAAAATATATGATTATTTTATTAAAGTAAAATATGTAAAATAGTTTTGACAATAATATTGATATACTTTTTATTAGATCTATTTGTAATTGAAAACATACAAACAAATTAAATCTTATAAGGCATCACATACAGAATATAGAGCTTGTAAATAACAAAGTTTTGAATGTCATTGCATCAATTGCCATACCAGAAAATTCACATTTGTAAGTTCAAGAAAATGAAGCCATGCAGTTCAGCAAACATCTCCTTGAACAGTGTATAATTTTAGCAACTCATCCTTTAAAGATTTGATCTAATAGCGTCAGACATTTTTTTGACGGTCTGTCTTTGTAGTATTTGGATCTATAGCTTGCAGTGAAATCATTGGGATTCCTCTATCCAGCTCGGAGATTTGGTGCTAAATCCCAACAAAGGAAATTTATTCTCTCCTTTTGAGTCAAAGTGCAATTTGTCAAGACATAAGACAGATGTTCCAGTTGTTTTCAGATGTGATTTTCCAAAAAGTGTGGCTCTAGTTGCACAAATTATGAACTTACTTTTTTTGCCTTGGCTTTTACTGTTTAGTTTTGAACTTTTGAATTTGTATTTTCATTTTATTATGTTAATATAATTGCTTTTTTCTAAAAAGAATATATTTTGTATATGTTTTACACTTTTAAGTAGAATTCGAGTCTAGATAATTGTCAAGGCTTGGTAAAACTAACATTTATAAAGATGCGTGTTTTTATACGCATAAATGATGAAGAATTTGAATGACTTTAAACGTGTTAGGAATAAAATTTGATTGATGCAGCAAAATAGTTAATCAACAGTAATTGGATTGATGAAAGAAATTCAACTTTTCTTAAGTAAAATCAAATGTTTATATTTCAATTAAATTTGATAATGCTCAAATCTAATATGATTATGTTAGATATTGGATGATGGTACTAAAAAAGATAAAACTATCATTTTGCTATTGAATATGTCGAGTCAATAATTGAACTATGGTTAAATTAATCATGAATAAATTAATATATTTTAAATATATGCTTAAAGAAAGAGAAAATAACCATCCTTAGTAATAAAAGTGAAAATTAAAATAAAAAACTATAGTAATAAAAAGACAATAACTATAACTTCTCCATCATCTTCATAAAAATTGTATATGCTTATTTTATAATTTCATATTCATAATTTTAGAGGGCATGCATGCATTCATATAATAAAAGGATACACGCATTTCGTTAGGGTTAAAATAATATGAAATTTTTATTATAAATATAACCATACAAAGTAATATAAAAACTTCATATATTTATAATAAAAGGTTAAGAGTCGTTTTTATTCTTCAACTTTATCCAAAAGGTTACTGAACACTCTAAATTCAATTATGAGTTAATTCTATCCATCAACATCAAAGATTCTTTCTATTATCACTTTGACATTAAAAATGCCTAATCTCCATTTGTCATCAATGAGTTCTGCCATTTTTGATATTTTTTATCATTAGGTTAAGAGTTATTTTTTTCCCTCAACTTTTACCCAAAAGGTTAGTGGCCTCACTCAACTCAAATATTTTATAATAAAAAATATTAAAAAATATAATGTAGGACCTACTAATAGTGAAGAGATGGCAAGAAAATGATAGTGTGATGAGGGAATGAATTTTTAATGTTGAGGGATATAATTAACCTACAGTTAAATTTAAGGTGTCTAGTGATCTTTCGAGTAAAGTTTAAGCGCAAAAATTATCCTTAATGCTGTATTAAAAATACAATGTAATACTTGTTACATTACAAAAATAGTGGTAAATGAACAAATTACTCCTTAAATTTTAGATTTATTAGCACCATAGACTATGAACTTATTTATTGTATAAATTATTCTCTCGACTTTTCAAAATGGTACAAGCTGGCTCCTGTTGTTAACAAAAACTAATTTTGATTGTTAATTAACTAAAAAATAATAAAAAAAGACCTCAAAAATTTAAAAAATGAACAAAAAAAAATGATGTAAACATTAAGAGCCATATTGCATTGTTTTTAAAAATTGAGAGAATAATTTACACAATAAATAAGTTTAAGATCTGTGATATTCTTAAACCTGAAGTTCAGAGGGTAATTTGCTCATTTATTTTAAAAATAGTTATTGTAATATTTTAGCTTTTATAAATATAATTATATCTTATTGCACTTTTGGCCAATGTGAGTTTTATGGGACCTAAGCTATTATCTATTTCTCATTGCAATTTGGGCCAATGCGAGTTTTACGGGCCCTAAACTATTATCCATGTGGTTCTGTTATGCTTCGCCTAACACCATTAGACCTACCATTGTTTTGAACCTTTTCCTTTTGGGCCAATAAAATGTCAATTTATAATCAATACCTCATCGAGAAACAACAGGCATGATTTTAAAAAACTGTTTTTTGTTTTTAAAATTAAAAAATTCCTTTAAATAAATATTTTGGATTTAATTATTTTTAAAACTTTTTAATTTTTTATTTTTTTTTAAATGAAAATATATTAAAATTGTTTTCATTTTATTTTTCTTCTTTTCAAAACAGACTACATTTGATTACTAAAAAATATAGTTGGGTTGACTAATTTCTATCATAAATTACTGCCACCACTATCATCCTATTGTTTAATTCTAAAACTGATTAAAAATTAATATAACCAAATATATTTTTATTTTGTTTATTTTGAAAAGCAATTCTTAAAACTATATTTTAAAACATTTTTGTTAAAAAGAATAGAAATAAAAACCAAACAGCTGAACATTTGTTATTCATTCCATTTAAAAATGTAAAGTATTTTTAACCAAATCTCACTTCTTAATAAAGTAGTTACCTACTTTTTAATTAATCCTAATTTTTTATATTTACCTCTATTAAACACCCTACAATAAATATAAAGTCATTATCAATAGGGACATTTTTTTTAAAAAAAATAATAATTAAACCTTAAAAGATTAAAAATGCTTTATATTTTTGAACTTTCAATTCTTTAAAAAATGCTTTACATTTTTAAAAGAAGGGAGTATTTCTTTACTTTTATTTCTTTCATTTTTTTGGGGAAAATCACTATAAATTAAAGTTCCTCATAGGGATTCTAATTACTACAAAGTCTCATGAAATACATAAATTATTAACAAGTCCTAAATCCTTTATTTGTAAATTTTTTGTGTAATTACTAAAATATCCTTGTTCTATTTTTACTTTTTAAAAAAATGCTTCACCCATTCACCTGTGCCCTGACGACCGGTGATGGCAGCCAATTGGACTTCCTTCAGCTGGCAAGCGAGTAGAGGTCCGATGACCACCGGTGGTTGATTTGTTTAGTTTTTTTTTTATATTTAATAAGGATAGTTTAATAATTATATATAAAATATATTTATAAATAATAGATTTAGGATTTGAGAGTAGCTTTTGTATTCCGTAGAATTTTATAGTAATTAGAATAGAATCTTTATGAGGGACTTAGTGATTTTTCCTTTATTTTTTCAATTTGTTTGTGTAACATAAACATACAAAACAATAGCATTTTCACCCATAAAAAGGTTCAAAAAAAAAAAAAGAAAAAAGAAAAGAGAACACAGTAAACCTTCCACCATAAAAGATAAGTCGAGGCTATATCAGGGACTTGTTTCTCTCCTCCCACTTTCCCCTACTACCTCCTATTAAAACTGAATTGTCTAGGGTCCAAATTAGATATTTTAATTTTAATTTTAATTTTGTATTTATTTAAATAAAAAATATATTTTTATTAATTCTGATAAAATAATTTGGACAATCTAGATTTATTATGAATGTTTCAAATTTAATATTAAAAATATTTACACTTTTGATATTAAATATGCATTATTCAAAGTATATCCAAATAATAAATTTATAAAAATTAAATTTTCTATTAAATCTAATCACGAGTCTAAACAATTCAGATCTAATATAGATGAAAAAATTTTAATATTAAATTTGAACAACCCATATTAAATTGAGACTGTCCAAATTAGTAATGAAACATGTTTATTATTTTTTTTAATTTTTTAATAAATATAAAGAATAAATATTTTAAATTTGAACCGCTCATATCCGCCGTTCTTCATGGGGGGTACAACAAACGGAGGGAATCCCAACTCCATACGAGGGCCCAAGCTCCTTCCAACGTTGGGAATTAGTGAAAATTTTATATGATTATTTAAGGTGTTTTGTTTTGTTTGTTTTTTGTTGGAAAACATATTGTTTTATAATCTATATGTGACAATGAGGCTCAATATTATGAGTTATTATTGATTAAGTTTGAAGGATGACAAGATTGAATTGACTGTGTTATTTGCGTATATGATCATGAACCCCATATGGGTTAATAATACTTTTATTACTAATTTTTTTACGCATATCAACATATTTATTTTATCAAAACCGACTTGAACAATTTTTATTTTTAGAAATGAAACTATTTTCTTATTTTCTTACATACCAAAAAATTTAAAATTCTAATGAGGATGAATACGAAAATTGTATTAATATTCAAGTTTTCAAAATTTGGTTAGCATTCTTATAGAATAATTTAGTGATCATGATTAACTTTTTGAACTAATGGTATTAAGAGTAATGTTAATAAATTAATATTCAAGCAGGAGTATTAAACTAAACAAAAACAAATTTCCTTTTCAAATACATTCATTACTTAAAGAATATAATTGATAATATTTGTAAACCCGTTTATCTGATCTCGTTTTCATTTATGAATATATCAGTTTTAATCAAAATTTTAATAGTCCCCTTTATATAAAAATCACATAAATTTTCTCTTGGTTTGGTGAAAATTAAACAAATAACTAATTGAAAATAATTGTCATAATAATCTCTTTATTCACCCGAAAGGGGAAAAAAAAAGAAATAGAAAATATCGTTTTGATCCTTCTATAGTTTACATTAATTTTAAAATTTACTAACTTATCAACACATTCATTTGAATTTGTTAAAAAATTCAGTTAAAATTTCACCAAGGTAACTATGGCCTCACCTGTTATTGACTATGCTCTGCTTAGGAGCAGGTATCATCAAACTTCAAATTTACAGAACCAAGCATTGATTCAAAACCTAACATTGTCCATTAGGGAAACAATTACATCAAAACTCCTTTTAAAAAAAAAAAAGAAATATAATAACAGACACTAATAGCAGGATCATTGGTCCAACTCTGAATGGCAATCATTGTCAAGAACAGAGCCAGAACACACAAATATTCCCAAATAAAAAAATTCCATTCAACAAAATCGAATTGGAGAACTAATTAGGAATGTGCATCAGATAAATCTGCAGAAAGCAGAGCCCATATCTAATTTTTAAGAAAAACCAAGAGACAACTGCACAAATCAATGTTGTCTTGTTAAACCGAGTCAATGTTAAGACTAGAGACAAAATGGGACAAGATTCTTCAGGTGATAGCTACTTCATATACAGATTGTTCTTCATGCATGAAAAAGTATTTAGTAGCAGCAAGTAGCAGACAGCCGACAATACCTAGTTTAGCCATGGAACCTAAGATATTACTTCTCTTATTATCAAGTTTTGAACTTGATTTGAAATGCCTAGAAAATGCTGATGATGAGGTCTTCATGAAAGATGAGTAAGAATCAATTTCTTCTTTTGTTAATGCTGGATTTACAGAATTCCTCACCACCTGGAAATGGCGATCACACACGGCAGTAGCAGAGATATTTTCTCTCAGAGCAACAATTCCAGCTTCCTTGCATAAACCCTCAAGTTCAGCGCCTGTGAAAAACTCGGTATCATCTGCTAGTCTTCTGAGATTGACATCACTCCCTAGTTTCATGCCACGTGTATGGACACACAGTATTTCATATCGAGCTTCTGAATCAGGTGGGGGAACATACAGCACCTATCATTCAACAAAGATAAACAAGAGTGAGATAGAATATTTGAATGCCTTTTTTTTCATTTGTTTATAATATCAAAAAGCAAGTATTATCTAAAACAAGGAACTATGAAAGATGATGTTGCGAGATAGAAATAATAAACTCATAATTCTTTAGGAGTCTCATTTTGATCGGCTTCTCAACCTTTTTATTAGTCTCTTCAGAATGTTAAGTGAAAGGAAAGGAACTCATTCATTCAGCACATCTTTGTGTGTGATTTAAGACCGGTTAGTTTTGCAACCAACAGAAGGGATATTTTTATGAAGCAAAAAGTGAAGTATCATCAGAAAATCATTCTTGTAAAACACAAAACAAGTCAGCACAATCATAGCTATAAATTAACCACCTGTATGGATTATATTGTACACCACAATGAAGAAAGTTACTTTCAATGCAAGAGTTCTTCAATCATAAAGGCTTGTTCTTAAAGCAATTCTGAAGAATAGTATTTTAGAACAAATTTTGAAAAAAAAATTAAAAAAAAACCTGTTTGAGTCATTATTTTGAAAAATATATCTAAATTGGGTGAAATAAAGGGTGAAAGAATAATTTATTTTATTAAGCATGATATTTTCTGTCTTTTCTCTAGTTTTGCAAAACAAAAAATAATTTAGTTTTTTTAGAACAACTTTAACTTCTTTTTTGTTTTTCAGAACAGATGATAGAAAAACACATTTTTAAATAAGTTTTTTCATTTTTTTTTTGTTTTCCTGAACAAAAAACTGTTCTGAAAACAGGTAATCAAACATGCCCATTTCTTGACAATCCCAAAAACACAGAGGAGCTGAAGGTTATTTCGAGCTGTAGCATCCATGCAAAGATGCAAAGAGCCAAAGAGAATTTTACAACCATGCATGTCCACCCGTGCAAAAATGTGCACTCAGCACTCACAAATTCATAATTTAATTTTAATATGACTATAGTCACTCTTGTGAACATATGTCCGCACATTCATAAATCTTAGTTACGTGCAAACTTCTGTATTGGAATAAAGTTCTCCTTTTTAAAAGGAAATATAAAGTCTGGTGGCATATGTTAGCTCTCACCAGATCAAAACGTCCAGGGCGCATAAGGGCAGCATCTATTGCATAAGGGCGATTCGTAGCCGCCAAAACAAGAATTCCCTGAGAGAAAAAAATATGGATCTTACTATATATAATGAAGAAACAGGAGACGCCTTAATTCTCTCAAATAATATATGGACTTGATTGAAAGTAAATTATAACTTACTATGTTTAATGTGTGCTTTATTCTTATGATACTGGACTTTGTAAGACACAACTGAAGGGCAAGGGAAGTATAAAAAGTCCTAAGAACCAGTACACACAGAAAACTTACAGTAGCTTCCTCTAAACCATCCATCTCAGTCAGAAGAGTCGACAAAAGCCTTTCTCCAACTGTACTGCTATTGCTTGAAAAATCACCCCTGTGAAGAGACAATAACAAGCCTTATCTCACTAATTTGAAACTCAAAAGATTTAATTATTTCTATGGCATAGCAAATAGAATAATGAAGAAACTCTGCTCCAATGTGAAAGCACCAAAAAAGAATCAATTGAAGTCAAAATGGAACTTAATTTCAGTACCCATTAGCTTTTTTGTAGCTGGTTTTCTTTTCTACTTTTTTTATTGCCCGGAATGTTTCACCAGAACACTGACTAAACATTCGTAGAAGAAAAAGTCTACTGGAAACTTTGAGAGCATTTTCACAATGCATATCCATCTATTTGTCATGTGTGTCATTCTGACTCTACATGGACATGTCATGCAATAATGATAAAAGCAAACAATGATTTTTATAGTTGAATGGATTGTATAGGAACTACTGAAAACAGAGATTGTCCTCTAACATAGTCACCATCTAATTAACCCTTTGCATTGGTCTCCCTGACTATTTCACTTCTCAATATTTTATGTCAAAAGAATTTATGCAACAATGAAATTCCCAAAGTACATCATAATTATGTGTAGCAAAGATTGCATGTGCATAAAAATCTTTAAATATATTAACAACTCACTCACCGCTTGGCAGCTACCACATCAGCCTCATCGAAAAATATTATGCTTGGTGCTGCCAGGCGTGCTCTCTGAAATGTGTTACGGAGCAATGCTTCCCCCTCTCCAACATACATCGAATACATTTCTGCACCACTAATCCATCATTTATTATTTTAAAATATTTTTTCTCTAATAAATCAATTTTCATGGGGATTTCATTAAAAAAAGTGTTGTAAAAACAAATATGATGATATACATCAAAAGCATGAAAACAATCAAAGTGTGGGATCATTGATATTAAAAATGTAGATTTAACTACCATAAGGATCCTCAAAAGATACCACTACTATCAATTTAGTCCTTGAAAGTTTATTGTCATTAATTTGTGCCTAATGTTTTAAAAATAAATCATTAAAGACCTGATCCAGAAGTTTATTGTCATTTAGTTAGTTCTAATGTTTTAAAAATTCGTCAGTTTGGTCCTGTACAAGTTTAGTGTTATCAATTAAATCATGAGTTCAGGTCAGGATTAATACTTTTAAGGAGTGTCTTTTCAAGGACCAACGAGGTAGATTTAAAAAAGGTATCAAAAGTGTATATTGTTGACAGAAGGAGTAGAAAGATGAAAAAGGGCAAACAGTTGATACAGTAGAGCTTCCAAGGTGGCAGTGAGCAAGTCACTCCATACTACAGAAAAAATAAAATTGTTTTATGAGACTTCAAAGAAATAGTTTTCAATTCCTGGACCTGAAAGACTCTTATATGTGAATAAATGTCACACCTAGTAGCATCTATTGGTTTGCTCCATACAGCGTAAGGTCAAGTCTAAATCATATAAAGACACTCACGTGAGGCAAAGATAAACCTTACTAAAAAAATGAAAATCATTTAAACCTCAAGGAAAAGAAAGAAGCTTGGGCAGCATTTGCAACAGCTTTTGCAAGCGTTGTTTTGGAACATCCTGGAGGCCCATGCAAAAGAATCCCACGTACAGGAGAAATGCCTAATCTTGAAAATGCTTCTGAATGCTTGATAGGCCATTCAACAGCTTGCTGGAGCTTTTTCTGTGCAAGGATACAAACATATACGATTAATTTCTGTTGTCATCAGAGTGATATTAATCAAATGTATTTACATACCTTCAATTCTTTTAATCCCCCAATATCCTCCCAAGTCACTTTAGGAATTTCCACTGTAACACCTCTTGTAATGCTGGGACCAACCATAGCTCTGGCATTGTTCCAATCTTCCATCATTATGTTTAAATTACTAGCATTTTCATTTTCACTTTTGAACCTTTTAGCTGCTAATATAGTAGCCTCACGGCACAAAGCCTCCAAATCAGCCCCAACATATCCATTGCAAGATGCAGCAATCATTTTTAAGTCAACACCAGGATCCAAGGGAATCTTCTTTGTATAAAGCTGAAAATCAGTGGTTAAACATATTAAATCAACTCATTTGGTCAAACTTCATAAATCAAGAATTCTATAAAACAGCCATATGGTAGAAAAACTCAAGGATAACTTTTGTCACCAAGTAATTAACAGTAGAATTCCATCAACATTTCCATAGAGAAAACCTTGAGAATTTGAAAGCGCTCCTCTTCATTTGGGGCAGTAACTTCAATTTCGGCATCAAAACGTCCATACCTTCTAAGGGCAGGGTCAATTGCATTCACTCTGTATGCAAAAATGCAATTACTGAAATTTAATGCAGAAAAAACTGAAAAAACAACAAATAAAGCAGCAGTAAATAATCTAGAGCAGTTTTGGGGGAAAAATCTAGAGCGGTTGTAAAAGACACCTGAATTCTACGCAAAAAACCCCAGGTTTCATATAATTAGGAAAGCACCAAACAGAAAATTTTAAGGTTCTAGCAATACTTCAAAGAAGAAAGCATCTCTAGTGTAACAGAATATTATATAACAGCTCACAATTCTAGGTTACCCATCAAGGCATGCCAAATAAAAACATTTCTGTCCCAGCCAGCAGACACAAATGAATCATTTTAGATGGTGAGGACCAAGACATATTCAACCCCAATCTTTTAATGTATATATTAAACTTTTAGAACTAAATATAAAACCTGTTAGTTGATGCAACCACAACAACTCTTGGCATAGCTGAGGATGGCTTATTCGAATCCATCAATGTAAAGAGTTGGGAAGCAATTCGAACATCTTGCTCCCTTCTGCATGTAGTGAATACGAGTAATAATCAAGCACAAAATGAAATTAGTGAGCATGCTCCATTAAAGATTGGCATAAATAAATTACTCTAGAGAATACGGCATAAATATGTTTTTTCCTGAATTCAATAAAATCAGCTAGAGCCATGTAGCTTCCTCCATTAAAGATTGTATAACAAATGCTTTGACTAATGAATTAAAACTCTTTCAGAACTAAAAATTTCACTAGATCATCTATTTAGACAAGCAAATAGAATAGAAATAGAAAAGTTGAGTGTAGTGTGGAAGAAAAAAACGAAATTGAGTTAGAAATACTTTATTCTGCAACAATAGTTGCTAATTGATTTCTTTATCCATAATTAAGGCCATCATAAATTGTCATGGTGTCATCAAACATGATCCATTCACAAGTTTTCAAGACCATAACTTGTAACCAAGTCTAAAAAGTTTAATTTATCAACTAACAAAAACACTATCAACCAGACAAAGCCTAAACAATGAACTACAAAAGCTGTAATTTGTATCAGTTAAACAGTATCTTAAACCATTCTTTTAGAAGTCATCTTTCCTATAGAATGCATCAACAAAGAAATTAGCCTATTTCTTGTTTCTCTGTTAATTTGACGGAGTGCTATCAATCATTATAAGTTCAGTATAGGTTGGGGAGCTCTACCATTGCTATGACATGTTCTCTACTACTATAAAATTGTGACAATTTATTCACATGTCATTCAGTCTTAGCCAAACACATCATGACACAAATGAAGCAAATGCTTAGAAAAATTAAAATATAAATATATAAATATATAAAGGTGGACAGTCACCAATTGTCCACTACCTGGAATTACGGTGAGGACAGAGTACATCTATTTCATCTATAAAGATAACCGATGGCTTGCCACAATTTGAATGAGATGATGCCTCTGAAAAGGCCTCGCGAAGAATTCTCTCACTTTCCCCAGCATGTGCTTTATGGACAGAATGAGGACTGCAAGATAAATTAAACAAAACAATGACAGGCCACTTACTCAGACTGGTGTTCGGGAACACAAGATCCACAGGAATAGATATTTAAAAAAAAAAAAAGTACCTGATAACTGTCAAATGTGCTCCACATTCCTGAACAACTGCCCGTACTAGACTTGTCTGGAATAGCAATCAGGCATAAATACAATAAATATGAAATTGATTTAGCAAAAGAAAGTTACATTTTCAAAGCAAAGTACAGAAAAGAAAACAATATATCACATAATCATCCAGTGATATTATCAATTTTAGTTATTCATTGCCGTTGATAGATATCATAAATCATAAGCGTAACGAACATGATTTAAAAGCCTAACCAAACACTTTCAACTAAAAGCAACCTTCCACTGAGCAGGCTCTAAAACCATACTGATCAAAAACCAAACCAGACATAACAACGTATCTTGCGACTTGAACTAGAACTTTCTGTGGAATAAGCTTGTCATGTGAGATATACAAAATATTTGTACATGAAACAATTAATTAGAGATTTAAAAACAGATTGCTCAGTATCAACACAGATTATACGTGCAATTCAAGATCTGAATTCACAAAAAAAAAAAAAACCTCACCATTTTAGGAGAGTATATTTGTGCAAACAGTTAATTTGAATGGATATTTGAAGAAATTACCTTTCCAGTGCCTGGAGGACCATACAGAAGCAAACCTTGCGGCCACTGAAGGCAAACCCAGAAAACAAATCAGCCAAAAACATCACAGTGGTTTAGAAGGGGATGAATTCACAAACATAATCCTGGAATTCTTAAGCAAATATATATTGTGTGTGTGTTCATTGGTTGAACCAATCATGGGAAAGGGAAAAAAGGGATGGAGACAGAAAAGGAAGTCTTACTTTGACACCGAGCTTCTTAGCTTGGTGAGAGTAGAGAAGCGGGAATATGATGAGTTCCCTGAGAGCTTGAAGAGCTTTCGCGTTCCCACCAATGACTTCTTCAGCTCTCCACCGGCATTCAATACTGCTATTATGGCTTTCCATTTGAACACAGATAACAGAGACAAATGGGTATGAATTTCAGCGGACAAGATGGTAGTTCCTCAGGATTATTCCTTCCCAAATTTAAAGATTTTGAATGATTATTCGACTCGTTTATATTGGTTTGTTTTGTCACCGAATGATACTCGTTACAGCAAACCATCAAACAGAGCAATCAAAAGGGAGAGGGCGAGAAGAGGGGAAGGTGGAGCAAGAGAATTTGATATTTACGTGCTCATCAATGAGAAAGCCACCAAGGGACAATGGAGTGTGGAGTGGAGCCGCCAAGAGCGGTGGTGGGTGCTGCCAAGTTCGAATGAACTTTGGGAAGGGAGGGGCACGATGAGAGGGACAGAGAGGGAGGGGAAGAAGGGGCAATGAATCGGGCCGGCGGATTGTGGGACCTAACTCGCAACCCGCAAACCAGCCCCGCCCAGTTATGACACATGTTGCCGTTGGATTAGTAATATATTATATTAAATATTAATATTATACAGTAAAATATATATTTTTTGGCCAAATAAATATATCTTATATAACAAAATAGACGAAGCCACATAAGGAAAAATGGCTCACATCGGCTTCTCACTCATTTTATTGTTTAAAGGAAATGTGTTAGCTCAATGAACAATAACGGCTTACATGTTCTGACTTAATGAATAAGAATGACTTATATGTTTAGATATGTCACTTTAATTTTAAAAAACTCTCTCTCAAACTTCCCCTCTAAATTGGAAGATTTGGAGAGATTCCTCCCACTCCCCTCCACTCTATTGAATCCTTCTTTTCTCCTCCCCTTCCCTCCTAACAAACATAGTTAAGATATGGTTCTTCCTTAAGGAGCTTAATGAAGTAGATCTTTATCCTTTCATTTGAAGGAAATCTTAGCCTCCTTCCTCTCACTAATCTATTCTCTTTACTACCTCTATCGAGCTCACATCCTCCTCTTTTGTTTTTCTTTGCTACTAGGTTCTCTCATTGGCTCCAATGAAGCTTAGCCATTGACATGCTTAGTCAACCTCAATAGCCGCTCTCTCATCTCAATGCCTCTCCCTTGTAAGTATTTCTCACTAAACCTTCCTTTCTTCTATGTGGTTGCGCTTGTTTTTTTGTATATGTGACTATCATTGGTGTAAGATTAGACAACTACACCCAAGGAGGGTGAATTGGGTATTTAACAAATTTTCAACTAAATAAAACTTTTCAAAATAAGTTTTACTAAGATGAAGGTGTAGTTATAAGTTTAAAAAATGAGTTTATGTAAATCTCAAATGCTTTTGTTGCAAAGTGCTTGAAAATCACTTATAGAAAAGTTTTAAACTTCTTGAAAATTGAATAAGCATAGAGGATGACCAATTTATCAAAACACAGTTCAAGGAATAAATAGATGAGAGTTTCTAAAATAAAAAATCAAGAGATTACAATAATATAAAGAGCTGAATATAAAGAGAGTAGGGATAAAGATACTACGTAAATCAATTTATCCTGATTTAGCACAATCACTTGGCCTATGTTTAGTCCTTAGAACACCTCTAAAATTTTTTCACTAAATCTACAAGTTTAAATGAGTGCTTGCTACCATAGTACAAACCACAAGTTTGATCCGAGTACTTGTGAATCACTTACAAAACTCTCATTACACTAGTGAGTATCTTGCATAAGAAAATAGACTCTCTTGATAACAAGAAATTCTCTTCTTTACAATTTTCACCTTCACGGAGAAATCTCCTTTATGTATGAAGGCAAAGGAACACTACCCTTAATTCTCTTAAGAATAAGATAAAGGCGTTTATTCTAATGATTTCTTTCTCAAAGAGATTATAGGAATAATTTAGGAACACTCAAGAAAAACTCTCTCAAGACTAGATAATATATTTAATGCTTTTAAAATAAATGAGAACAAGTTCATCACTGAAATGAATGCAACTAGGTAACAATTTAATGATATGGCATTCAATACATGATTGATGATTACCTACAAACTCAAATGAGGTTCTATTTATAGTTTGGCACTAAAAAAGACATTAAGAATGCTTAGGGTAAAGATTATAGCTTTTCAAGACGTAAAAATGAAGTTTACTAGAAAAAGCACTTTTTTTTGCGAATTGCATGAGATGCTTGTCAAAGTACGATTCATGTGTGTTTAGAAGGGACAAAAGCATGGATTGGCTTTAAGCATAAATCACTTTTAGCTAGTTCTGAAGGCTATAAGGATTTGAGCATGTTTTAAAGACTAGAAGCCCTTTGCTTTCACTGTGAACTCAAACACATGTGGGTTCAAACTAAATCAAGTGTGGATTCGAACTGACCTCTCTATAAGTCAAAACACACTTCAATCACTTCTCAAACTAGCTTGAATTGGCTTGTTCAAACTTAAGGCTTTCTAAGTCAGGTTTGAAAGAAAATAATTGTTGGAATCCATTTAAGGGTGGATCACAAGGGTGTCATGGTTGGATTACTCTAAAGCACACTTCAAGCTAACATTATGGAATAATTCAAGCGTGGACAACATCTAAATCAAGCAAGAATTAGGTCACAAAAGCAAGTTTAAGTGTAATGGCTTATTCAAATACAGACTAAATCCTTAGTCAAGCATGATCTAAGCAAGCTCAAAACCCTTGCGTTCACTAAGGGCTTAAACACGCTTGAGTCTACTTTAGGACAAGTGTGGATTGACCTATAGTGTTGAGCAAAGCTTTTGAAGTCTAATTCAAAAGGGTTTCAGTATTATTACAAGCTTGAATTGAATCCACTAAGTTGTATAATGCATGAGGAGAGGTTGATTCATGTGTGGGTTCATACCAGAACAAGCATGGATCAAACAATTAGGCATAGATGCATTTTAAGTGTTTGATAATGAGGATTTAAGACTTTATGAGCCTATAACATGTTCTAATAGATGCATTCTTACCATTCAAATTGTTATTTTGCTTTCAATAATTTTCACAACATAATCTAAGAGAAGAATCAAATAATTAAACATATAAAGTCTAAGTCTTTTCTTCTTTATATTTTTAGAGGTTTTATCACTTAATAAATATAAGATTGATCAGTACAAGTAACAAACTCCTTTCTCTTGATTTTGTAATAATCAAAACACATGATTTAACATTCTTTTCCTTTTTGACAATGACAAAACCTAATATCTATTCAAAATAATTTACTCCCCTTTAATTAGAGATAGGAGTTAATAAGTGCATAAACTAAAATGATTAAAGTAAAAATAAAATAACAGCAATGAAAGCACAATTATATTGAATAATACTTATTTCATTAATGAAAAATGAAATGCAAGAGGTGTTAGCATTATACACTCATTCAAGCATTGTACATAAAAAAATATAACATTTATTTGATACAAATAAAGCTTGAACTCTCTCTTTCTCTCCCCCTTTGGCATCATAAAAAAGATGTAAGGTGGCTTTTATGTAATATCCTGAATTTTAAATCTCAAATTTAAGAAAATAATTATGAGTGATTATGAGTGATTATGAATAAGATGAGAGTTTATTAGTTTGGGGACAGTTATAATTGATTATTGAATTTAAGTATTGTCAGTTATGGCCTTAGGATTGAGCTTGGAAGCTTGTCGAGCCACTTAGGCCCAAAGTGAAAGAAATAAGAGAGTATGTGCTTCATCCACCTATGGATGAAGTTTCACATGCTCCGTTCGAGTGTGGATGAACCTCTAAAATATAGAGTTTCAATTTAAACTTCATCTACTTGTAGATAGAATTACAAGGCTTATGACTGCATGTAGACGAAGCTACATAAATGTATTTTAAGAGGTCGAAAGTAGCAGAAATCAAAGAGGAAGAGAGGGAGATTCAAAATGGCATTAGAGGGTTTTGTTAGGGTAGTGATTTTTAGTGGTTTTGGGGCATTTTTGGACTAGTAATCACCTAAGGTAAGTTATAACACTATTTCTCTTCCATTTAAGCTAATTTTTAAGCTAGGGTTTTAATGTTTTTTCCCAAATCAAAACTGTATGATGATTTCTAGACTTTAGGTTTAATAGAAGGAATGTTAAGAATACCATTAATAAGTAAGGCCTTAATAGATACTGAAATTAATAAATTATTATTTAAAGATGAAGTAACATAAATATATATTGCTGGAGTACAATTATTAATAAAAGCTTATTTTCAAGAAGGAAGAAATTCACTAATAGAATTATTAATAATTGATGGAAGAATAATAAGTAGTGTAGAAGATAGTATTTTAGGAATATTAACTGAAAACTTAATATATTAAAAATTAAAATTTACAGTAAATACTAATTTTTGTATTTCAAGAGCTGATGAAAATATGAATAAAACTTTATTAATATATCATAAACTAGGAGAAATAAACTTATTAGTAGGATCAAGAACAATAAGTATAACTGTTATGATAGGACTAGTATTTACAAATAAATATAAGATATATAAAAGAAACAAAGGAAAATTAACAGTTGACAAACACTTTATGCCTGTTTACAAGAAATTGAATTAGATCTAATAAGAATAACAATACTTGAACAATTAAGATTAGAATTAGATAATACTATAGGATATTATAAGAATGAAAACAATTCAAGAAGATTAATAACTAATGATAATATAGGACAAAGAGCATTAAGAATTAATACACCAACATTAAATATTAATATAAACCAACTTACTAGAAGAAGTTTTAGTTTTGAACCCAAGACCCAGTACAAGTAGAGGATTATCTAGACAATAAAGATTATTGTTAAGATCAAGAAGTGAAAACCTAATAAGTTCAAACTTAGAATCATTAAGACTTGAAACACTAATAGAAAATGATAATTATATATTAATAGAAGTAAAACAAGAAGCAAATTGGATAGAAGTAATGGCCTTAGTAGATTCAAGAAAATAAAAAAGTACAATACAACTAAATTTGACAAATAATAATTTAGAAGTAACAAATGAAGCAAATAGAGCAATTTCATCAATAAGAATAAATAATAGAGATGTTATAACTGTAAAATTTGGATAATAGATAATAATAATGATCAATGTAAAATAATTTAAGTAATGACTTCTTTGAACAAGTAAAACCATGGAGAATATAAAAAAAAAGAATTATGATAAATATTAATCATCAAATAATAGTAATTCAAAAAATAAAATTGATATGACAAAATTATATTACATATTGATAAATTTTAATTATAAAAAATATAGATCTAGAAAATATCATGCTTTAGTAGATATAGAGCAACTATTTCAGTAGCAAAAGCAAATGTATTACCAGATGAATTATAAAAAAAGAAAAATAAAATATTAAAAATGCAAGGAGTAGGACAAGAAATTAATTGTATTAATTAGAAGCAAGAGACATTAGGATATAAATAGGAGAATATGAATTAAAAGAAGAA